TCTAAGCATTAAGGCCCCTACATTACCGGTGGATCCTTGGGCTTAGGGGCTTAGGGTCACCTGAAGCAGGTGATTCAAGCGGAGATGGAGCCAGAGGAGAAGAGGGCTGCCTATGCCTGTGACGTCACGTACGTGACGAACCAGCAGCTGGGCACCTTGCCTCCACTGGCTTATAGGGTTTAGGGCTTATAGGGTTGGTCGGAGCAGAGCCTGGGTTCAAAAAAAAGGGGTTTATAGTGTTTTGGGCCAACAGAGTTTTAGGGGGTCCGGGCTTCTGATTCCTTACCGTTCCTCGTGCAAAGAGTTAAAATGTACCGCAACACCCTATTCACCCTATATGAGTACGTAGTTCATAGTAGTTCTGTAAATCAGGGTCCTTTGTGGGGGCTCCAGTATAGTACGGCACCCTTATAAAAAGGACCCCACAAGGGAGCCTAGTTCAGAGAGCTACACGTGTATTAGGCCCCAGAGACTTGGCAACAGAGACTCGAACCCCTAAACTCTCAAGCCCAAATATCTGTCAAAGATGTTCTTGATAATTTTTGTGCCTTAATATGGGACTTTCCAAAAATAGGGGTTACCTTATTTTGGGGTCCTTATAATAAGGATCCTATTATTTAGGGTACAATATTAGGGCCCCCTATTTTCGGAAACCCCCATATGAGGCTAAACTTTGCAGGACCCAAGCCGACTTACCACCGTGCAATGCGGGCACGTCCTGGCTAAGTAGGAGGCAAAAAAAGCCCAAACCCTATAAACTCTAAACCAAGGTTCCGAGGCTTCCAGGATTCCGACGTATTGTGAAAGGCCAAGCTACGATATACGATGTAGGGTCCCTAAACCCTAAACAGTTATGTAGGGGTCAGGGTTTAGGGACGTTTAGGGTTTAGGGCTTCCTTGAGGCCCCGCCTCCCAACATCTGAGCTTGAGCTCGCACCTCGAATTCCCCAACCCTCACCCTGTCTTGTCCGGGTTTAGGCTTTACCGGGCGAGAGAAGCCTTCTGCACAATGGTTTCGAAGGAGAAGGTTTGTAGATCGTAGTGGTTTGGATTTTCAGTCTTTGCAGTTCAGAGACACACCGACTGCAGCATACAAGTGGCTATTTTACCTGGCATTGCTGGATATAAGGCCACATCGGTGAGTGTCCGGATGATCTCCACAGCATTCTTTCCTTTGCGGGTCTTCTATGCGTAAGTTATGTGCGTTTCAGCATCCATGCCGGAATTCTTGGTAAACCTCATCTCTCACATCGGGGTTGGGATCTTGTCTGTCCGTTTAAGCTACGCTACACCGACGGTAGGCAGGTCGCTTGTGCTGCAGCCTTCCCCCTTCGAGGCTTCGATTATCTTCGGGATCAGATGGCTTGTCGCCCATCGGATCTCCGGCTTCGCTCGGAGGCCGCTCCCAGGTAGGTCGAGATCTTCAATCGGGGTTTAGGGTTCTTTTCGGAATCTTGAATCGCCGAACATCCCGAATTGTGTACCTGCGGTTTAGGGTCTTCCGCGTCAAAGAGTCCCACCTGAGGCTGTGGAGTTCGTGGATTCAGACTTGCGGGTTGCGCTCGTTGGAATCAAAACGTCAGGAGCCGTTCTCTTGCGCCATCGTCGACGAAGCCGACTCGGTGCCGACATTCATCAGAAGTGCGAGAGACCAGTAACTGCAGCCCCAAACAAGAATTCTGCAATGACCGGGCTGGTACTACTACTTTCAACAACAACAACAACGACAACAACAACAACAGCAACCACAACGACAGCAACAACAACAACAACAACAGCAGCAGCGACCACAACGACAGCAACAACAACGACACCACCACCACCACCACCACCACCACCACCACCACCAACAACAACAACAACAACAACAACAACAGCAACAGCAACAGCAACAGCAACAGCAACAACCACGACGACGACGACTATTATTATTATTACTACTACTACTCCTCCTCCTACTGCTGCTACTACTACTACTACTGCTGCTGCTACTACTACTACTACTACTACTACTACTACTCCGCCTACTACTCCGCCTCCTCCTGCTGCTGCTACCTGCCGCTGCTTGTGCACT